TCAATCGTGTCACTTATTTTCAGAAAATAATGACAATTGAAAATGATAGTACTAAGACTACTAATGCAACCTCTAACCCATTCTCCACATCTGTGTTGCTGGTAATGTCGACGGTTACTCTGGTGGTGCTGGTACATCTGTGTCGCTCGTAATGTCGATGGTTACTCCGATGGTGCCGGTTAATCATGGTGAAAAGCCAGAAAACGTTTAGTGGAACCGAACTTTAAAAGCTTAACGTACAGAACTCATAATTCCTTTGAATTTATACAAGAATGGATCTTTAAAAGTTGTGAAATAACATTTGTTAATTTTGAATGTGAAGCGGGTCTAGTTTTTTCGAAGGAGTTGGGTATATGACAATGTGTTTCTTGAAGGTGACTCCGAATAGCTTATCAATTTGAAGATAGGCAAATTGGAGCTGCATCATTCAGTCCTCAAATTTGGCACCAATTTGTTATTGTAAAGTATAGTTGCCCCTTTGTTCTATGATCTTATTTTACTTTACTAATGCAAATAGTGTGAAAATATAAAAATGAACAATGTAAAATATACATTTTTCATGTAAAATAGATGACATTGACAATATCATTTTTTTTTATCCATATAACTAATAAATTATTAATGAAAATGAGCTCAGTGTTATGTGAATTAAAAATTTAAAGAAGCTTAATGTAATTCCGTCAAAGCTGTAAAACTTACTGTATTTTTTTCCAAATATCAATGAGGTTAATGTAATTTATCTCAAAAAAGTTATAAAAAAAGACTCCCATAGAATAAAAATAACAAATTAAAAAGGAGAGAGAGAAGAAAATTTATATAAAAAGACGAGAAAATTTCATTTTTACCCCTATATTTTACCTCAATTTTCAATTACACTCTCAGACTTTGAATAATTTTAATTTTACCCCCAAATTTTTTGAAATTGTATCAATTTTGCCTTTGCTGTCAAATCTAAAACGAAAAAAGTTAAAAAAAATTTACATTTTGACCTAAATTTTAAAAGAAAGATGTAAACTTACCCTCTTCTCCCCAAATTCTTTCCCTTCCCTCTCTTCCTAGTCCCTCTTTCTCTCTATTTTTTTCTCTCTCTCTCTCTCTTTCCTCCATTGATCCATATACCCAAAATATATATATATATATATATTTGTAAGAAGAGCTTCAAGAGACAGGGCAACAATGTTGTTTTGTGGCTTCTGCTGAAACCCAAAAACCAAAGCTCTCTTCTCCTCTACCGCAGAACCCATTGCCTTTATCTTCTGAAACCCATGTTTTTCGATCAAAGCTTCCTGACATACCCATCTCCAACCACCTACCTCTCCATACTTACTGCTTCCAAAACCTCTTTCAATTCCCAAACATACCATCATCATCAGTTCCACTGGTAAATCCTACTCTTTCTCCGAAACCTACATCGTTTCCCCGAAAGTCACTGCCGAATTGTCACTCATCGGCATAAAAAAGGCGATGTCATCATGCTTCTCCTTCAAAACTGCGTTGAATTCGTCTGCGCATTCATGGGTGCTTCAATGATTGGCGTAGTCACTACTACTTTCAAGCACGGGGGGTTGGCTTAGAAATAGACAGAAAAGCTCTCATCTTGTCATTGGCGTTGAAATGATTGAGCGTTTGCCTTTCACTTCTCTCCAAAAGAAAGTAGAAAGTTATATAAAAGAATTGATGAATCCCATAGTCAAGGGTTCTCGATGAGTGGTGATGAACAATATACAACTCTGAATTTTTTGTTTTGTAAATTATCATTGGATTATCAAAGAATCTATGCAAAATCAAGTTGAGATATTGAGGGAAGTTTTGTGATATTGAAACCAAGTTGTGTTTCTTGCTCTTCCCATCTCAGCCCCTCTCTTGCAACAAGAAGAACTAAAAATTTTGGAGTAAGTGAATTTGGGTTTGAGAATTTGGAGTCAGTGAGTGAATTTAGGTTTGAGAGAAGTTGGGTTGGAGAATTGAGTGATTGCGATGGTGGTTGGTAGTGGTGGGAGCACTTGCAAGGGCAGAGGATAAAGGGAAGAATTGGAGAAAAATGAGAAAGCGTGAGTTTGGATAGGAGAGAGTAAAGGGAAGAATTGGAGAATAATGAGAAAGCGTGAGTTTGGGTAGGAGAGGGTGTGTTTACATTTTTCTTTTGAAATTTGCGACCAAAATATAATTTTTTTTACTTTTACCATTTTAGATTTGACTGAAGGGGCAAAGTTGATACGATTTCAAAAAGTTTGAGGGTGAAATTGAAATTATTCAAAGTCTAGGAGTGTAATTGAAAATCGAAATTAAAATATAAAGGTAAAAATGAATTTTTTTCTAAAAAGACTGCACCCAATAAATAAATAAATAAAAAGAGAGAGAAGAAAATTAATAGAAAAAAACTGCACCAACTACAACAAAAACACACTTTAGTGGCACTATACTAGCGGCATTTTTTAAAAAAAATGTCACAAAAAGAATATTTGGTGGCTTGTTTTAGAAAAATGTCACAGAGCCACAAAAAAATGTGATTTAATAGCATCAATTTTATAACATTTTATAAAAGAATGACACAAGAAATTATTTTAATGACATTTATCAAAAGATGCCACTAAACTTTAATACTAATGGCATTTTTTTAAAATGTCACTAAACTAGATAGATGTAAGTTACTTTTTATGGCATTAAGTGAAAAGTGTCATAAACAAATATTTTATGGCATTTTGAGAAATGTCACTAGATCAAAAAATTTCCAAGCTATCTAATGCCATTTTTGAAAAAAAAAAACAAAAAATATCGATATACTTCCAAAAAACTTTAAAATGCACAAAATAAATATAAAAAAATAAGTTGAACTCAATATAACATGCTATCAATTGGACCAATTTGAGACAATAAAAAATTTAAGGTTAAAATCGATTCAATTGAAATTACAAAAACTAAAATGACACAATAGCCAAAATAGAGGGACTAATAGTGTAATTTGGCCTAATTGTTAGCATTTTTTAATGACAAATATGCATATAAGTGGCATATGTTATTCTTTTAGAGGTAAAATAATAAATTTTCTCAACTCAGTAAGTAATCTCAACAAATTCAGCGATCATTTTTCGTCAAAAATACTAATGGTATTATTAATTGGACCAAATTGACAAAAAATTAAAAATTAAAATTGATCTAATTAAAAATATAAAGATCAAAATTAATATTTATTTATTTATTTAAAATGTGAACAAATTTACTTATAAATAATTAAATAATTTTTTGATACACTACTATCAGTACAGGAAATTACACCTTTAGCGATTAAAAATGGCGACTAAAAAAAATTTGATCGCCAAAGATGCATGCTTTAGCTACTAAAAAAAACTTAGTCGGCAAAGGTACACATTTTAGCTACTAAAAAAAATTTAGTCGTGAAAGGTGCAATCTTTGCCTACAAAAAATAATGTAGTTGGTATTTGCTTTATGTTTGGCGATTAATTGGATTTTAGTCCTTGAAAATAGGGTTTTCAGCGACCAAAAAAAACATTTGGTCCCTAAATGTTCAATCGATAGCTACAAAAATTAATTTAGTCGGTATTTATTTTACTTTTGGCGACTAATTAAATTTAGTTGTTGAAGGCAGGGTTTTGGGAAACTAAACAAAATTTAGTAAGCAAAAAGTATAATATTTAGCTACTAAAAAAAATTTAGCAGCCCTTTAGTTGACTTTTAGTGACTAAATTTTAGTCCTTCAATTGTAATTAAAATTTTGCAGGGAGGACTTCAAATTTTTGGAGTGATTCCTAAATTAATTGGCGACAAAAGTATCTTTTAGTTGGAAAAAATTTACAACTCTTTTATTTTAGAGTAAATATCATTTTTCCCCCAAGCTATCATGCATTTTTTATGTTGACCCCCATACTTCGATTTATTTTAATTTAGTACTTGAACTTTTCACAAATTGATCAATTAGACCCCTGCCGTCACCTTCCGTCCACAATTGGACGGAATGTGTTGATGTGGGGGGCAAATTGATTGTATAGTTTGGGGGACAAATTGATTTTTAATTTGAGGGGTAAATTAATTTTTAAGGTATAGTTTGAGGGGTAAAATGAAATTATAAATGCCACGTCAACACATTCCGTTTAATTATAGACGGAAGGTGACGATAGGGGTCTAATTGATCAATTTGTAAAAAGTTCAAATATTAAATTAAAATAAATTGAATTATGGGAGTTAACGTGAAAAACACGTGATAATTTAGGAAATAAAATGATATTTTCCCCTTATTTTATGGGACAAAAACAGTTAAAACCACCACCCAAAAAAAAGAAAAAAGGGCTAGGTTTTCAAACCCCCCCCTAAAAAAAAAAAAAGAAAGTTAGGTTTCCCCCACTCACGTTTTAGAATCAAGATCCTTTACTTGAATTCTCTCCTTTACTTCCTATTTACAAGGTTATTGGGTTCATTTTTTGGCCCAATTTCAATGATTCGAACCGTCATATTTTAAGATCTATTGAGTGTATCATACCTGTAAAATATCAAGTTGATCGGATATTAGAAAGTATGTGTTCGGAAAACTGTTTATTAAATTTTAAAAAAAAATAGTTTTTAGTTTAATGATCCGAACATGTACTTTTTGATATCTGATCAACTTAATATTTTATATATATTCAATAAATCTTAAAATATAACGGTTCAGATCATTAAAATTAGATCAAAAAATGAACGAAATAACTTGCGAAGTTCATTTTTTGGCCCAATTTCAATGATTCGAACCGTCCATATTTTAAGATCTATTGAGTGTATCATACCTGTAAAAAATCAAGTTGATCGGATATTAGAAAATATGTGTTCGAAAAACTATTTATTAAATTTTTAAAAAAAATAGTTTTTAATTTAATGATCCGAACATGTACTTTTTGATATCTGATCAATTTAATTTTTTATATATATTCAACAAATCTTAAAATATAACGATTCAAATCATTAAAATTAAATCAAAAAATGAACCAATAACTCTGCAATAACTCAGCAAGTAGGAAGCGAATGAGAGAACTCGACGAGGGGGATCTTGATTCCACCTTTTAGAGGCCAACTTACCTATACTTGGAAAGCTGGTGTGTAGACTTGACTCACTGCCTCTTTCTTCCCCACGCCTTTGCCCTCCTTCCACGATCTCTTTCGCAACGTCATCACACCGTCGCACGATCTCTCTCTCTCTCTCTCTCTCTCTCTCTCTCTTCTCTACTATTGAAGATCGAACATGGAGGCTTCTCAATCTCTGCTCCAACGCAATCACAGCGATCGTCGTCAGCTCCTGAGTTTCATACTCTCATCAGGTTTGATAAAGGAGCTCCGGTCCCCTACTGGTGCCACCTCCTCTGTCTCCGACTCTGATCTTGAACTTCTCAGCGCCGATTACGTCCTCCAATGCGCACAATCCGGTTAGTTTCACCCCTGTTTGGTTGCCGAGAAACTGTAGGAAAAAGAAAAAGAAAAAAAAAAAGAAGTGAACTAAAAAGAGTTAACACAGTACTCTGTTTGGCTGCGAAGAAATCAAAGAATTCATAGCTAAATTAAACTAATACAACTATTTGGCTGAGTGTGTTTGTGTCTTTTAAACCATTTGGTTCTCTTTTTTTCCTTTTTCCTCTGTTTTCTCAACAACGAAAGGGGGGGATTTTAGGGTTAGGGCTATATTAGGACCGTAGGAGAAAGATTCTAGTCTTTTTAAATGGAAATGGATAATAGCTAATTTGCCGCTTTAAAGAGTAAAATCAGACGCCGAAAGTTATTAGGGTTAATTGGCACTCAATAGGCTAAGGTCTCGGAATTAAGAGGTGGTGTTTAGGGGCTGCAAATAGTGCCCTGAGAAAAGTAACCTGTTGGTTTAGTGGCAGGAAGAAGAACCATTTGTATATTCGGTCTAGAATTCCTTGGAAATTACTCGAGTCTCTATAATTCATCGCACAGTTTCAAACACAAATTCTCTGAATCCAAATAATCTATTGACTAGAATTATTACATAGATACTTATAGGTTGCTGGACCTTTTCTAATTTTTCTAGGATTAATACATGAAAACTATAAAATTTTGACCATTCAAACATTTTGAACCTAAATAAAATCACATGCAATGATTCAATAACATTCTTGACACATGAGATCCATAGGCTTCATCTAGAGCCGTTATCCAAGTTCTTTTTTTCAAAACATATTTGCCTTAGATTACTTTACTAAAACCTAATAACAAAAGGAAGCTATCTAGCTGCATACGAACCTATAAATTTCATAAAATGAAGACTCAACTTAACGCTAAACTCCACTAGAAGGTTCCCTACATATGCTCCATGTAATTCTTTGTTTTGTTGGAATCCATGTGAAATTTCAGATTTACCCTTTTCTTCCTTCTATGGTGTTCTGTTCTTAGAAGAAAAAAAAAATTGTTAAGAAAATTCATGCCATTACCTCTATATTGTTTACTCCAAAGTGCATAATTTAGTTGTTCAGAGGAAAGCGAATTCGGAAATCTTTTGATTGGAATGGGATAGGGTTGTGACTGATGGTGGTGCTCTTAATTGTTGAAATCTCTTGCTTCATCTTCTTTGTTATGTAGGATCCGAGTCTTGTCTTTGTTCGCCGTGGAACCTCTAGAACAAATTCAAGACAAGGCACTCTGAGAAGAAGTGACTCCATGTGGCACACAAATTAGTATGTTGAATGTGAACATATATATGTATATATATATTTTGTGTTGTAATTTTTTATTTTGAAAACCACTTTGCTCTTAGTTGATCGTTTTAATTTTGAAAATCTTGTTGTGCATATTTTTTATTTGTCTCTGTTTTGTGCAACAGTTAACCTGTGGTAGCCAAATTGTTGCTTTGAGATGTTCTACCTCTTGTTTACATAAAAGTGTAGCAGCTCAAGGTAAAACTAAAATACTATTCTGATCCAAAAGGAAAGCAGAATAAAACACTGATGCAAATTCCAAGAAAACATTGATTCAATTCTGTAGTGTTGATGCTTGTTTAGTGTTTTATTTGCATCTCATTTTCTAATTGCAGGTTTTTATATTTTTAGCTGCTGAGTATGAAACTCCAAAGAACTCCCTGAATCAGGTCAGCTTTTTAGCATTTGGTGGCATGCATTATTTCATCATGAGTTCATTTCAATTTGGCATTGGATATTATTCTTAACCTCAAGCTTCATTTCAAATTTCATGAGATTATGGAGCTAGTCAGTTTTTGTCCGATGTCCCTTTTTGTCCGATGTCCCTTGCTGGATAGGTGCAGTCGGATCATTGTCCAGATCATCCTTAGACTCCATAATAAGTACTATGATGTTTCTCGATTCTTGAAATTTTTTCCCTCTACTCTATGTTTCAGATATTGGCATACATGATGATAAATTTAACCTTTTGGCTTAAGAAATTTTGCTCCTTAGCTTCTACATATTTACTCTGAACATGATAGACAATGTTTAAAAAATTTGAATGTCTTTATTATTATGACTAATATATGTAACATAGTGATAAAAGCCAAGTGTGGTTGATGCCTCTTGAGGTTATTTGGACTTAAGTCTTTGTATTATAATTTTTTAAGCTTGTATTGCCAGGGAAAAAAGAGAAACCCAAATCGGCCACCAGTTATGCTTCTTGAACTGTTTCTTTAGGTTAGACCTAGAGATGTTATAAAAAGTATGGACAAAGCCTTTCACACAAATATTATATTGAACTTCTAGAGAGAGAGAGAAAAGTAGGCTCTGTTTGGAACGATTCTCAAATTCGTTTTCTACCATTGAGTTCGCATATGGTGTTTGGATAGAGTTGTGGAATTAATATTCTACAACTCTATAGAAAACTCTGTCAAACAGAGCGCGATTTTAAACTTTTTTTTCGAAATTTGGCCTAACCGGTTGTCCGGAACAGTGAATTTTTTTTGCAATTGATATGTTAATTTTTATATATTCGAAAAAAATATTTTCTGAATTTTTAAAATTTTTTTATGTGCTTTAAAATAATTTTGAGTTGTATGCTTGGTTATGAATTATAAATTTTTGTATCAAATATCAAATGTCACGTCAACAATTCCTCACTCAAACCAAACAAATTTTCTACAATCATAATTCCAAACCTCAAAAACTCAAAATATAACTCAATACTCTCAAATTATAGTTACAAACCTCTACCAAACGCAACCGTAGTCTTTCATGAACTTGCTAGGTATAAGAAGCTATAGGTAGAACACGCATTATACGAATGCTAAAAATGTCACAAACCTGAATAGATATTATTTGGAAACAGTATGACGCCAAAAAGTAAGTGCAAAAGGCATCAAGATGGCATTTTTAAATTTTGACTGAAGTTCAATATCCATACAATTCCAATATTTATAACTTACACGACAAGTTTGGAGACTCCATGCATGGGTCATCTCCCATGTTTATCATGTTGGAATAATTTTCTGTGTAAAATAAAATAAATAACTTGAAACTAAATCAAACAAATAAAAATAAACTACTTACATAATTTTTTTACCGAAGTGAATTACTGCAAAAATGATCAAGTCGAGTCTATAACACTCTATCCTTAAGACATATTCGCTCTGCTTTGGTGCTTACGGATAAATGGCTTCTCCCAGTATACAATGATCTTTACACAGATTGTAGTAGTACTCCAAACAATCTGTACGGTGAACTAGAACTTGTGTTCTATACTCTCAGAATTTTCTCTAAAAACCTGGTATGTAGAATAATGAAAAGAGAGTAAAAGCGGAAAGAGAATTAATTTTCTGGATGTCAAAATATGCTGGAATGATTATGAATTTATAGACATAGAAGGTGATTGTGGGGAAGAGCCGAGCAGGTACAATTTGAATTAAACAGATACAGATTCAAATCTGTAGAGTCGAATAGGTGCATATTTGAAATGAATAGGTGCAAAAATTCAAATTTGTTTGAATCTATTTGGAAGAAACTGAATCTGTGCAATCTATTAAAACAGGTTGAAAAATCTGTTTGAACTTGCTGGAAATTGGATCGGGGGAGGCACTGTTTGGACAGAAAATTGAATTCAAATTTGGCGCAAAATTTGAATTAATTTCATTCAGAAAAAATAATTTTCCTATAAGAATTTTTGAAAAAAATTCAAATAAACTTTGTCTAAAAAATTAATGTAAAGACCCAACCCATAACCCGGACCCAGCTCGACTCGGCTTGGCTTGGACTGCCAACGCCTCCGGCGCGCGTGCGCGCTTGTGTGATGGTTTAAGCCAAGGCTCACTTTGTCCATAATTCTTCCCTTTTACAAACTTGAGGTGCTCTTTGGAGCCCAACCAAAGTTTGTCCACCTAGAGTTTATAAACACATACAAACTTTCTTAAAGTTTCAATGTGGAACAATCATTTCAATGAAACCCACATTTTACTCTTTAATTGTTTATTTCACGAACTCGAAAACAACGTTAACTTCCCATTAACTCATAGATGGTTTTGACGAATCGTTTGCACCGTGTGACTTGCCATATGGCAAGGAACACGTTACCTCATTAGACCCATTCCAAAAGACGTGTGGGACCCACTCAAATTTGGAGTCAAAGTTGGTCCAAAATAAGTCTATAAAAAATCATAATTTCCACCAATCCCTCACATAAATGGAATTTGATGAAAAAAAAATACAACATGATCTGATTACAGTGAGTACATAAATTTGAAATATTCTATAAAGGATATGTAGCTTTTGGCTTTGAACCTTCCATTGTGAGACACTATCAGATTTACTAGTTAACCAATGAATATAATGTCTTGAACTGCTCAGCCATTTGTGTAAACCAAGACAATGGAACTCACACAGTATATTTATCAGACACAGTTTAGTTCTCACTATAATGTTCATTTTGACCCTGAACAACCTGACCTTTCATGAGTGCTCTAGAGAATTATAGCCCTTCACAAATCTCATAGAACCGGCCAAGTTCAGACTCATATAGGTGATTCTTATGAAGAATATCCCGCCAAACTCCACTAGGTGTTCCTAGAAATAAGAATCATTAAAAGTATTACTTAACTTAAAACGTTGCAGACATCACTATTTCATCATAGAAATTGGTAGAAGTTTGACTCCGTAGTGATCCTTATGAGTTTTAGGTTGTCCCTTTGAACCTAGAACTTGGGATCTCAAGTCAACTAGGTTCGGTTGCCGTTGTGGTAACTATTATTTAATAGGCTCCATTTCCCCCGATGAATTCTCAACTAACTCTCTTGTTAACCCTTTGGTTAGTAGATCCGCTATGTTGTCTTTAGATTTCACATATTCAATGGAAATAATTTCATTGGAGAGTACTTGTCTTACGGTATTATGTCGACGATGAATGTAACGTGACTTACCGTTATACATATGACTTTGTGCTCTACCAATTGCTGATTGACTATCACAATGTATGCATATCGCAGGCATCGATTTTAGTCATATTGGAATATCTTCAAAGAAGTGACGAAGCCATTCTGCTTCTTTCCCAGCTTTATCTAAAGCTATAAATTCTGATTCCATAGTAGATCTAGCAATGCAAGTCAGTTTGGAAGATTTCCAAGATACAGCTACCCTACCATATCCACTGGTGGATTTTGAGTTTTTAGTATCCGATATTCAGTTTGCATCGCAGTATCCTTCAAGTGCTGCTGGATATCTAGTATAATTTAGTACAATATTACGAGTAAATCTAAGGTATCTTAGAACCCATATAATAGCTTTCCAGTATTCTACTCTTGGATTACTCGTATATCTATTTAATTTACTTACTGCATAGGCTATATCTGAGCGAGTGTAGTTCATCAAGTACGTTAAACTTACAATAATTTGGGCATACTTTAATTGAGAAATACTTTTATGTACATTCTTAGAAAGAAACAAATTAACATTCATAGGTGTTCTAGCAAGATGATCATCATCTTTGCTGAATTTGTTAAATATTTTGTCAATGTAATGTGATTGTGACAAAGCATATCCTTCTGATGTTTTGATAATTTTCATACCAAGTATTACATCAGCAATCCCTATATCTTTCATGTCAAAATGTTTGTTCAACATTTTCTTGATAGTTTTAATCATGTCATTATTACTACCTATGATGAGTATATCATCCACATAAAGACATACTATAACTGTGGGGACATAATTTTTGAATGACAACACGTGACCAAAGTGACACCGAAGTGTCTGCCGAGGTGTTACGTGTCTTGGTCATGACACCGAAATGATCTTGGCTAGGCCGGGGTTATCTGTAAAGAAACTGGAATCCGGGATAAGCGGATAAGGGACAAGAGTCTTAGAATGAGAGAAGACTTCAGTTTGGATAAAGATAAGACTCTTAGAGAGTTTATCCCAATCCTACTAGGAGTCCAAGATTAGCAGTAATCCTAAGTCCATTGAAGGTAGGCTTCTATTGGGATTAGGTAAGTGTTGGCTATAAAAGAGAAACACCCCTATGGGTCTAAAGTATGTTTTTTATGCTCTGAATAGTGAGTTAAGCACTTTTGCTATCTTTGAGAGATAATTGACTTAATCGTCGGAGTGCCCCCGGGTGGACGAACTATCGCCGGAATCTCTTCTTTTTGTGACAGGTCGTTCGGGCTTAATCTATTCTGCCAGTGTTCTCCAGCTGAGTGCTTGATTGGCAGTGTGGTCGGAAATTGACACACACAATTTGGCGCCGTCTATGGGAGAGAAAGGAGAATATATGGCCAACGATGGACAGAAAGAGAAGGTTGGGGACGACACCCCTACTAAGAGTGGGAAACATATTGACCTTGATGTCGAAGAATACAACTGCAACGAAGAGACTCGTGATAAGAATCACGGAGGAAAGGATGTCGGGCAGGAGGGCGGCGTACCGAAGAAATCGAATCGGAGTGGGTATTACAAAGAGGACGACTTCCAGGTATAAAAAGATAGATGCTTGTGGAGGGACGACGAGATGAAAGGAATGGCGGACAAATTGGCGGACTTGCAAACGGTCGTCAATTTCATGATGCAGAACGTCATGCAGCCACCGTTCCCGCTACAAGATACGCTGATTCCAGCGGCCAAAAAAGGTGCCCAAAAAGGAGGGGGGGCAGAAAACGATTCCTGCAGTCCTTTAGCATGACAAGACCAAGGGACATTCTCATCGGCCTTCGCGGGAGGTCGGACATGGAGAATCCCAGAAGACACGTTGAACAAAAGAAACATGCACCAAAGAACATCGGGATCTTCAGGAGAAGGAACTCTGTTTCGACACGACCAATGGAGGGAGGTCCAGAGAGACTCACAATGACACTGGAAGTAATGCACCAAAGAGGTTGAAATTCGGAGATAGCCGAGCTCCTGAATGAACCAAGGAGGATCTGAGGGATTACCTCTAGAGAAAGCGACAAGATGCCGAGGTGACCTCTCCGGT